CCCCAAAACCCCAAAACCCCAAAACCCCAAAACCCCAAATAGAAGTTCAAAAGTTGAGAATTAATAGAACAATAGTATGGCCTAAACGTACCATCTTTCCAAAGTAGACAAAGATCATGTAAAAGCAACTTCTAAAGATCAAAATGTCTACCCTTGCATCCCAAGAATGGTTATAGAAAAGACTCCTAAATCTCGTATAAAGTTTTTCTCTTTCTCTAGAAGGGAATATACATAAATTGGCGCAGAAACCTTAAGATCGAGTCTATAGCAACATAATTATAATGATTAGATATGGCTATCATCCTCTTTTGAAGAGGTGAACAGAGTATTAAGTATCGGCATTCATTTTGTGGAATGCGAAGTCTTCTCATTCGGAGTGACCATTAATGTACTGATTATTTTACTACTATTTACTTTCCTACCAATATACGCTTGATAGTCATCAGTGATTGTATCACCGAGAGATTTCTCAGACTTGTCGTCCACATTACTGAGATCTTCATTAGAGATCTCCTGGATCTTCTTCGAGCTCCCATAAGAACTCGATTCTAGGTCATATTGGGTCAAGAATTCGTACTCAAATGCTTGTGCTAAGGTAGTTTCTGTGCTAATTGATCCTGAAAGTTTAGTAAAAGATATCCTACCTCAGCTTTTTGTACTGTTATTGTAGAATTTTGGTACGTGATCTAGAGTTTTTAAGCTTTGAGCTTACTTTTGGTTTTCTTGAGATTCACCTTTCTTCCTCTATTTAGTATTGGTTAAAAATAAATATTTTGCAAAATTTGTGAAATTGTCAAGAGTAAGGAAGGTGGCAAAATGCAGTTTAAAGGGTATATGAAAGACTTAAAATATGTTAATAGATGATATTGTAGAATCCTGTGCTAAAAATGGTATTATAGCTTTTGGCCAAGGCTCAGGAAGTTGAGTTCTGGGGTAGTAATTTTATTTGGTTATTTGGGTGGTAGCAAAGAAGGTAGAAGCTGAAGTGATTTCATTAATTTTAAAGTAAAATTATAGTGGCGAATAATGCTCTTGAGCCAAAAATATTAATTTCTCTTCAAATAATAACAAAATAAGAGAATTTATTGATTAGAACACTCTTTAGCATCTGAAAATATAATCCCCATCATCTCATGGATATGTTACAACTTGACAGCGATTAAAATTTATTGCAATATTCCTTGATAAGTTTCTAAGTTTTAAAGCAAATAACTAGATTCTTTCTTATCAATCAGCGATATATCATTTCATAGTAGTCATTACTTTAATCATGGAGCATTGGGAGCCTGTTCAGAATACAAAACCTTCTCCTCTTCGTGTACACTCTTCATTTGCTTCTTTATATCAAAATTATATAATTTGATTAGTAAAATAACAATTATCTCATCCCCAGTTGGGGTTTTGGGGTTTTGGGGTTTTGGGGTTTTGGGG